AGCACCCAGGGGCGCCTGGGTGGCTCAGTTGGTTAAGCGACTGCCTTCGGCTCAGGTCATGATCCTGGAGTCCCGGGATCGAGTCCCGCATCGGGCTCCCTGCTTGGCGAGGAGTCTGCTTCTCCCTCTGACCCTCCTCCCTGTGATGCTGTCTCTCATTCTCTCTCTCTCAAATAAATAAATAAAATCTTTAAAAAAAAAAATTTTTTTAGCACCCAGAGGGCCTGGCATGCAGTATGTGGAGGCCAAAAATGACACACAACCTAAATGGCCATCATTAAGGAATTAGTTAACTAACTTGTGGTAAATGTACACAGCAGAAAACTCTGTGTTTGTCAAAGTGACTGACTTAGAGGTCTATGTACTGAAGTGGAAAGTAGGAGATGTAGTATACGGCACGACCCTTTACGTAAATATATACTTAATATATTTAAAAGCTTTGAAAAGAGATTCGCCAAATCATTAACAGGGATCCAGGATGTCCTACTGTTTTTACCCTCAGCTTTAGACATGTCATTCCTAACTGAATCTTCTAGAATACACAAATGCTATTTTTCTAATCAGCCCAAACGATCAAGATACTTCGATTTGGGGCAAAAAAATGTTCTGAGATGGGTGAAGTGTATGGTATGTGTATTACATCTCAACAACACTGTTAAGACAAAAAGAAAAAAGAAAAAGAAAACAATGCACTGAGGAAGCCCGTGAGTACCCATTTGGCCACTGAAATGGGCTGAGGACGGCAGAGGTAGGTCAGGAGCCCATGGGGTGGGTGGACGTGGGAGGCACAGCCTTGACCCAAAGTAAGGCATTCGGGCCGGAGGGTTGCTGAGAACACTCGGCCCTTGGCTCCTGACCACGGTCAAGGCCGACCTGTCAGCCGAGTCTCAGCACAGCGGACAGGACTGCAGTAGCTCTGGCCCACAGGGCAGGCCTACCTGTGTACTCTGAGTCTGTGAGGTACTTGCTGGTCCGGGACAGGTACTCCGGTAAGCCAGCCAGATCCTCAGGGACACCCCGGGCAACCGCACTGAAGAGCCGATCGCGGTCAAAGCGGTTTGGGTCCGGCTGGCTGTGGGGATTGACTTGTGTCTGATGTTGTGGAAGAACCATGGGCGCTCCCAGGAAGCCCCCGACCCCGGGGAGCCCTTGCAGGGAGTCCCGTGAGCACTGTGCACTGTGCAGGCTCATGAGCCCCGTGGGACCTTTCTGAGCACCTCTAAAGACGAGGTGCTGTAGCTGTTTAGCATCTAGCAGTTTCTGGTGACACGGAAGGGGAAGGAGCGTGGGGTACCCCTCCTGGGGATGCCCCTATCCACAGAGGCCAGTCCACACCTGGGGTTCCTGAAACCATGGCCAGCAGATGTGAAGGGACAAACAAAGGTGGGGGGGCTCTTTGATGCTCTGGGGGAGCCTCAGGTCCCAGCTTCACCGAGGAAGGCTTTGGTGACTCTCTCGTGAGTGGGGGATGGTTGGGCTCGGTCACGTGTTAAGCTATAGCTGTGTGACTGATGGAGGCAGGCCCTGCCTCCTCCATGCCGGGAAGCCACGTGTCTGCTGGGCCTGACCAGACACACTCAGCTGCCCAGCAGGCCACGTGGCCACATGACCGAGAGGGCCCTGTGGCTGACTAGGGCGCCCTATGGGCAGTCCCGCCGCGGGAAGTGGCTGTTTGGAGAAAACACTTCCTGTCACAGGGTGGCATCCCCGTCTTGGGGTAGGGCAGCCCAGAGAGAGCACAGATTGGGGTGCGAGGGGGCTATCCTGCCTGTCAGGCAGGCCACCCGGCTCCCAGAAGCCTCACGTGCATCCTCCCCTGGCCTGGTCTGAATCTGACCGTGGTCTTCCAACACCAACGATATGGGGTCTCCAGGCTGGGACGCCAAGGGCTGGGGCCACGTCTCAGGCATGAGGGCTGAGGAAGGGGCTTTCCTGACAGAGTCCTGCCTTGCCCAGGAGGATTCGCCAGCTTCGTGCATCGGACTTCACACTGAGCGGGGAGGCCGGGCGAACCCCACACATACCCGAAGGGGCACGGGGGCTGGGCCAGGCCACCAAGTCTGACTCAGGGGGCCCCACCCTCATTTGCTGCCTCACCTGACACCTGCTTTTTTGCGGTAGTTGAGGTTCACTTTGATCTGAGGGGAGGAGTGCCGGTCCTCCCCCTGGAACGGTGACTCCATGGGGGGTGGCCCATCCCCGAGGCCCGGCTTTCCTTTGTCCCCCTCACCGCCATCTTCTTGGCCTCCATCCCACGTCTGGAGCCTGAATGCCAGAGGGCTGGAGGGCGAGGCCATCCTAAGGGGAGGAGGCTGCTCTGTCCAGCTCAAACCTGGTGGAGACAGAGTCGTCAGAGGCTCCTCCTTCTTCCCAGCCCCTGGGTTGGGGTGGGAGGTCTGGCTGAGGCCTGCAAAAAGAGAAGCTGAGTACAAGTAGACCCACCCACCAAGTCAGCCGTGAGGGAGGCAGGCAGAGGGTGAGGAGAGAGGGAGGGCCCTGGAGTGAGGATGGAACAGGGGAGGAACAGGGAAGGAACAGGGACCCAAGGGGTCTGCCTATTGACGTAGTCCCACACGAAGGGTTGAGATTGTCCCTGACTTTCCCTCCGGGACTTCCTGATATCTGAGAGACCACAACCGCTTGATGCAGGATAACAGACTTTTGAATTCACAGCTCGAACCTTTCTCTGCCTCACTTCTTGTCCAGCGGCCGATATTCACAGCAGGTAAGAGTTCTGTTGCAGGCCAGAGGCGGGTCATTCACCCTCTTGCCACAGAACAGGAGCATGCTGGGGGAAACGGTTGGAAAACCGGTCTATCAAACCTCTCATCTTGCTACCAGGACAACTAAGGCCCAGAAAAGGGAAGTGACTTACCAAGGTTTTCAGCTGTTGGCGGAGCCTGGTCTACAACCACAGCACCCTACCATGACGATCCTCTTCAGTTCTCAGTATCTTTCAGGGCCCATCCCTGTTTTCAGTCTGATTCATCTCTGAAAGCATCAGAGGCTACCTCTCTCTGTGCTTTAGGGTGTCTGGGGGCTTCAGAGTGGGGAGGGAGACCCCTGGCTGGCGGCCCAAGCTCCCCCTGACAGGCAGCCCCACCTCAGGCCCTGGCTGGGGCTCTGGGCTCTGACAGGGGGTGGTTAGGGGGAAGGCGCTGTGCCCCCAGCAGGTAGGAGCAGAAAGAAGGAAGAAGAGTCCGCGATGGGTGGGGGGGACAGCAGGGTGGGAGAAGGGGGCAGGGTGCAGAGAAGAGCATGGGAAAGGAAAAGAAGGGCCAGAAATAGAGAGGGTGGGTGGTGGCAGGGCTTGGGCTGTGTCCCGTCCAGGCTCCCACAGCCCTCAGGGACCTGGTGGGGGTGGAGGAAGGACGCATTTTCCCACATAAGCAGGGGAGGCCGGGACCTGGCTCACTGCTTCGACATGCAGGGTTTTTTTGTTTGTTTGGTTGGTTGGTTGGTTTTGATTTTTTACTTCAGCATGAGCCACCACCTTTCTGCCCAATCTGGGGCGTCCTCCCCAAGCCACACACCGTTTAGCCTGGCGTGTGTCCCTAACCATCCCCCCATCCCCCCAATCTGCCTCACCGGCTGCCCGCCAGCCCACCATTGCCAAGCGTCAGCAGCAACAGCTCCCTGTCCAGCCCCCCGCCCCCCTGTCCTGGAGCCCTGAGCCGCACCGGCTGGGAGGAAGGGGTCTGGCCGTCCAGGTGGAGGCCGGAGCCCCTTGAAGACCCTGGCTCGCGGGGCTGGAGAAGAAGGGAGCCCCCGCCCTCGGGCTCCCCTGCCCTGATCAGTCACTGTCGGGCTCCGGGCCGCCCCCTCCCCAGACGTGCCCCGATCGCCCCCCGACTTACCCCGCAGGCCGAGGCTAGGGCGTGGAGGCGGGCCGGGGCCGCGGACCGCTGGGATCCCGGGCCTCCGGGACCGCCGGGGCTGCGGGAGGAAGTGAAGCCGGGAGGGCGGCGGACGCTGGCTGCCGGGAGCCGCAGAACCTCCCCAAGCCTGCTCTGAGCTCCGCCAGCGGGCTGCGGTCTCGGGGTGTTCTGCACCCTCAGCCCACCCGGCCCGCCGGCATGGTGGGGAGTGGGGGGAACTCTCCCGGCTCGGGACAGGCTGGCCATCGGTGAGTGACCAGCTGGGCCACTGGCCACACCCTGCTGTCGGGAGACACGCCCCGCCTCCCCACCCCCACTGTCTAGCCAAGGAGGGCCCAGGTGGGGTGGGGGCAATCAGAGGCAACCCTTGGGTGCTGGGACCTCGCCTCAGGTGGGAGCCGGCACGGAGTGTGTGTGTGTGTGTGTGTGTGTGTGTGTGTGGTGTGGGGGGGTTCTTGCCCCACTGTGCTGACGTCTACCTTCTCCCGTGCCCACCACGGGCCTTCCGGGGGACCCATCACAGGGCAGATAGAGCTAATATGGACGGGCCCCAGGGAGAGGAGAGACTCAGCCCAGCACACGACCCTGGGAATGCACGCCACCCAACCAACTAGCAGTTTGAGGGGATTTTCCCACCTCCCGGGGCTTTCCCCCCAACCCCCCAGCCGGGGTGGGGGGGTGGGCGCCTGTCAGGGGCACACTTCCTTTAGTGAAAGGCGCTTCCAGCACCAACCAGCAGGGGGGGACAGGGAGAAGGCTCCAGGTAATGCCGAAACCAAAACTGGTAGGGAGGGATTCCACACTGGGGCTTAAGGACTCAGTCACCCACCAAGTAGACCTAGGACACCTCCCTCTCCCTAGCTCCCTAAAATCCAATCCTCGCCCCAAACCTACCAAATTAGCTCTTTCTCCGTCTGGTCAAAACAACTATCTTCTCTCCCCTGGGAGACTGCAGCCACCCCCAAACTGGTCTCCCGGCTTCACACCAACCCCACCCTCACGCTCATAATCCATTCTCTGTACAGCAACTGGAAGGATCTTTCGAAAGTGAAAACCAGATCACCCCACTCCCCCGCTTAACCCCACATCCCACCCCGACCGATCGCTTCCCTTGGGGCTTCGCATAAAATGCAAACTCCATGCCATAACCCTGTGCAGTGCAGATGCCTTTCTCCACCTTCATCTCTCAATACAACACTGTCTTGCTGGTTACACTCTAGACCTGCACTGTCCAATCTGGTAGTCACTAACCACAGTGGCCATTTAAATGTAAATCAATTACAATAAAGTAAAATTAAACGTTCAGTTCTAACAGTCACAGTAGCCACATTTTGAATGCTCAATAGTTACATGTGGTTCGTGGCTACCACACTGGACCGCACAGATACGGGACTTCTCCATCATTGCAGAGAATTCCATGGGACAGCATGGCTCTAGACACTGGAACACATTTCAATGTCTTCTGTTGCCTCCAAGCCTTGCACAGTTGGTCCACCTGCCAGGAACAACCCTCCACACCACCACCACCCTGCCCCCCCCCCACACAAACACTGCCCTTGCTTTAGCCAACTCCTACTCATCTATTGTCTCTCCATTTATTTTTTTTAAAGATTTTATTTATTTATTTGAGACAGAGAGAATGAGAGACAGAGAGCATGAGAGGGAGGAGGGTCAGAGGGAGAAGCAGACTCCCCGC